GTTGTGGCTCAGTGGCAGAGCGCTTACCTAGCACATGTGAGGCACTGGGTTCGAACCTCAGCACTACATAAAAATAACTAAATAAAACAAAGGTATTGTGTTCATCTCTAACCAAAAAATAATTTTTTAAAAGAAATTAAAGGCTAAAGATTAAAAAATATATTACATTACAATGTATTAATTGCAAAGCTGAGATAAGTCTACAGATCTTCTGGTTCATGGCTCCAATGGTTTTGCCACTAGATTTTATGAAGTAAAATTAAGTAAAAATTTTCTAAGCACCCATTCAGAACTATATGTTGGACACTGATTTAAAAGCAGGAGTCAGTAAAATAGTAATATGCCCCCCCAAACTGGCTTAAAGAAGAAAAGACCATCAGACATGGTGGTGGTACACAGCTATAACCCTAGCAGCTCAGGAGGCTGAGGCACGAGGATAGAGAGTTCACAGCCAGCCTCAGCAACTTAATGAGGTACTTAGCAACTCATGAAAACCCTGTCTCTAAATAGATATTTAAAAAGGACTGAGGATGTGGCTCAGTGGTTATATGCTCCTGGTACCAAAAAAAAAAAAAAAAAAAAAAGAAAGAAAGAGCAACTAATAAGAGTTGTGAAGGAGTGTTAGTAATGGTTCAGTGTAGATTACAGAACTTATACCATGTCTTCTTTGTAATCACTATCTTTATAATTTTAGCAACCATTACTGTGTTTTCTCCCCATCACCAAGAGGAAAAGGCTACTTTTTGTGGTGGTGGTTGGGGAGGTGAATAGCAAAAAGCCTGGTCTTATGTGAAAGGGATCACGACACACAGTAAATGTGAATAAATCACCACCTGAAATAAAGTTACACATGGATACATATGATATGGTGGTCCCTTCTTATCCATGGGGGACTGATTCTAGCACCCCTCCCCCTTGAATACCCAAATCCACAGATGCTCAACTCTCTTATATTTGCACATAACCTAGGAATATTTTCCAACAGACTTTAAATCATCCCTATACTACTTATAACACCTAATATAAAGCAAATGCTATTTGATAGATGTTATACTGTATTGTTTAAGGAATGAATAATAACAACAAAAGATTGTTATGTGTTCAGTACAAACTCAATTTTCCCTCAAATATTTCTGATCCTTGTTTGGTTGAATCTATAAATGTGGATCCCAGAAAAACAGAGGGCCAACTGTATATATATAAAAATGGGCTCTGATTTGAGTAGTTTTGGTACAACTTAACTAATGATCTTTCAAATAGTTTCACAAAGTGTATGTATAGCTTTTATTAAGTTTTAATACAGATTTAATAACTGGTATAGTGGACAGAACCATGAAAATAAATTTACTAGTTACAGCCTCACAAGACAACCACTATTTTTCATAACATCTGAGGTTTAATTTTGATTTAACAAGAATTTCTTCACTCTTTAGTGAATGTAATATTCTAACTGCATACACGAGGAGACTGACACTATTTTATGCTAGTGAGACTAATACATGTGACTAATAGAGAGCTTAAGCAATCTTTCATGAAATTTATCAGTAGCAATAGCTTGACAAAATAATACTTATACAACCATTTTAGATAACATTTGGCAGTATTTAATAAATTTAAAGATATTCATCCCCTCAGCCAGTGATTAATGCACTAGAGCACATGTACCTATGTAAATTCTAATCAACCATGTTGAACATGAAAAGCAAACCGAATACAAAAGTCATAAGATAAAATTTATATAAACAATCTAAAACCTGCAATAATATATATTACTAAGGGATACCTATACTTATAGAAGAGACATAATTAACAGGACAGGAATGATATACACCAATATTAGTTAGTGTTTACCTCATAGGGAGGATACAGATGAACTTCTGGTTAGGTATACAGAGATTTACCTAAAAATTATTATACTCTGTGATATGTCTTCCATATTTCATACTAAATTAAGAAACATTTTTCTGCCAGATGGCAAAGTCCTGTTTCTGATAGCCAAATGGTCAGGAATGATAAAGACCAATATTGGTTAGTGTTTATCCCAAAGGGAGGATACAGTCATTCATTCTGAGATTGAACCCAGGGCCTCATACATGCTAATACATGCATGCTCTCCCATGGAGCTTTCCCCCCTGCCCTGCATCCTCCCTTTAAATACCATCTCTCTCTACAGTGGCATCTCTCAAACTTATATTTCCTGCCTGGATTGGAAACATATGCCAGCACATACTGCTTAATTGAACATTCTCCTAGCGTATCTAAAAGACATGGAAAATAAGGACATTCGACTCCAGCTCTGGGCTCTAAATCTATTCCTCCAGCCTTTCTCCACAGGGCTGCATTCTACCTTATGTTCTATATGAATGGATGCCAACTACATGCTTCTGATGTAAGACCAAAAACTTTGGCATTGCCCTTGGCTCCTCTAGCATATACGCTGACCACTTCTAACTCTACCACTCCCACCCTGAGCCAAGCTATCTTCATTTCTCACCTGTCTCCGTGATTCCCTGGCACTTCTTCCCTACCTATGCTCTTTCCCATACACCCTGGTCAGTGGTCAGAGAGACTACTTAAAACCTGAATCAGAAAACTAGTACCTAATATGAGACAGGCATTCAGTTAAGTACTTGCTACATCACAACACAAAATGGAAAACTGCAAATGACAAGAACAATGAAGAAGAAGAGTGTCAAAAGAGCCTGTAGGAAAACAAAAAAGCTTACCTGAGAAAGTTAAACTTGATGAGACAAGTTAACTAGGATGTTTATAGGCTCGGTGGTGAGAGGGACTAAAAGAAGACCAGTGTAAATGAGAGCAAAAAGAGGTAGAAAAGGTATAGAATAAGTTTGGAGAAGAAAGGAGGAGGCAAAACCATGAAGTGAGCTGGAGATTCTACTATGATGGTTTATCCTTATCCTCAGAGCAACAGGAAACCACTGGTGTTTTAAGCAGAGAAACCACATGAGCACAGTTACATGGCCAGAGAGGGTTACAATGGCTCCCAGGTAGAGAGGAGTAACTTACTTTCAGGGGTCAGAGTAGAACATCATAGATCAGGTAAGAGAGAACTGCGGTAATACAATTAGGAGCAGATGGCATCTTGGGGAGTTGGTAGTAGAGATAAATAAGATATGCAGAAGGTTAAAAAAATAATCAATGAGATTGGTGTTGAATGATATTGAGGGAGTAAAATTAAGGGAATTTTAAGGTTCACAAAGCACTATTAAGGGAAACAAAATATTCCCTTAGAAGAGAAGTCTATGTCTTTAAGTAGTGGTAGCCAAGCCCCTAGCTACAAATGGGTACTGAGCACTTGAAATATGGTTCTTCTGAATAAAGAAGTGTAGTAATTGTAAAACATACTGAATATCTAAGGTTTAATACAGAAGAAAAAAATGCAAAATATCTTAATTTTTATCATGATTACAAGTTGAAATGATATTTTAAATGTAACAGGTCAAATAAAATTATTAAAACTGACTTCATCTATTTCTTTTTACTCTATAATGTGGTTACTAGACCTCCAAATGACCTATTTCCGTTGAACAGCACTACTTTCATATGAAAACAGCAATGTAAGTATTGCAGTTTATTCCAAAGGCAAAAAAAAAAAAAAAAAAGTCAAAGGAGAAGATCCCTGAATTTTGGGGGAAAAAAAAAAAAGTAATTTTTATAAAGAATTTCATTTCTTTGGTTTTGTTCAAAAAGGTGAGGAAATTAAGGTTTTATTTTTTGGCATCTGAATACTAAAACCATTTTCTATTGATGTTATTTGTGGAATATATTATTTTGTCTATTGCTAATCCAATGATTCTCTTTAGAGAAGTTTCTGTATTACAAGAGAAAGGTTAGGAAAGCACATTATGGAGATGACAGGGACTCAGAAATCATTTGGGCCCACCCCTTCATTTTATAGGTGATTAAGTAACTTACTTGAAAAATTACTAGACTAATACCATTTATATTACATGTATGAGGGAACTCATTACAGTCATTGTAGTATTCAGGGACACCACAGATTTGTAATATATCACAACTACATTCTGATCCCTAAAGAGCTAAACAATCTATGCTACGTTACTGAATTTCAGGATTATCAAGGACTATTTTGAGGCACACAATACTATTTATATTCTTACTTGATAAGAGTGGGAAAAGCATCAGTTCTTAGAATCTGAAACCCAGTCTCAGCTGTTAGTCATTGCTGTGGTTTGGATATGGTTTTCGTGTGTTCCCCCAGAAGTTCATGTGCTGGAAGCTTGCTCTCCAGCATTGTTGTGTTGGGAGGTGGTACGTTTTAAGAGGTAGAAGCCTGTGGGAGGTGGTTAGGTCCTAGAGTACCACCTTAGGAATTTTTGGTCTCAAAGTGTATGGGAATACTCAAAAGAGTGGGATGTTATAAGTTAGACACCCCATGTGCTTGACCCTTGCTCTACATGGCTGGTCTCCCTTTCTACTCCTCTACCATGTTGTGAGGTAGCCACAAGAACTGACCCTCACTGAAGGTTAAACAGATAGGGTGTCCTCTGATTTTTGACATTCAGCCCTCAAAACTATAAGCTAAATAAATCTTTCTTCTTTATAATGCACAAGGCACTTTCTAACAGTAACACAAAATGGATTAAGACTGCTGCGAATCAAGGATAACTGACACCTGTTTCCTTATCAGTAAGATGGAGATGCTGCCATGCCCAGGTTGTGAAAATGACAGGAATACTAAACACACACACACAACCCTGCATATAGTCAAAATTTGGTTCCCTGACACTTTATGTTCTCTCCAAAATGTCAACACAGTTCCACCTGTGATTCAATGATGCATAGTTATGAATGCCATGTTTCAGAGGCCTGAATAACATGAAGATGTTATGGCAAAAGCTTTAAACATCTTAGAATTAAATATTAAATATAATTTGACATTTCTAAAATGTCTTCATTTAAGATACTATAGTTTATCATTTTCTATATTAAAAAGAAACATTCTTAAAACTACTTACATCTGGCTGAATAGCTTTAAATACTGGGACATCCATTAGCGTTATCTGACCCTGAAATAAAAAACACCAACATTAATCTGTTCTTTGGAACTCCATGACATGACATATATTCTAAGTAAAAAAATTTATTCTGTACTAAAATATTACTAAATAATTTTTAATTATAAGGGCTTACAGAAAAAATGAAAATTTAGTCCATTAAATAAAATTATTTCTATTTAGCTGATAGCTATTTATATTTTCTTGAGACAAATGAGGTAAAATTAGAAAATAAAGATAATTAAAAAAATCAAAAACAAAATCATGTCTATTGGTTTATAGAGCAATGTTGTAATACTGACTAAATTATCACTCCTCAACTACTCATCGAAAATTGATAAAAAGGTTTTATTCCTAAGCAGGTGTGGTAATCCCAGTGACTGAGGAGGCTGAAGCAGGAGAGTCCAAGTTCAAGGCCAGCCTTAACAACTTAGCAAGAACCTGTCTCAAAATAAAAATAAAAACGACTAGGGACATATCTCAGTGGTAAAGCACTCCTGGATTCAATCCCCAGTAACTCCCCCAAAAAGGGTTTTCTTCCTCACTTATAATAAGCACTGATACTACATTTAAAAGGCAACATATTATACGGACTTTGTAAGTTAAGGTTATGGTTATAAATATAAAACAAAGTTTAACAATATATCAAAAAATTATATGCTCTGATCAAGCACAGTTCGTTCCTGGAATACAAGAGTGGTTCAATATCATAAAAATCAATGTATCCTGTTAACAGATTAAAGCAGATATAAATGAATATGTCAGTTAATAAATAAAAGATTTTCTAGATACTTGTCACAATATTCCAATGATATCTTCATATTTCATTTCTCAGTTTTTTGTTTACCAAACAGTAAAAATACTTCTTTGATATGTCAATAAAGTACAACTGACTTGGGAAGATAGCATAGGTAGCAATGAAAGGAAATAACCTATTACTTACTAAATTAAAGGCCTAACTTATGAAGCTGCTCTAAAAACACTAGGCAGTTCTTCTTACCTTCCCCATGCCATCCTCCCCCTTGTTCCAGTTGTGCTATTCCCCCCAAATTCCCATACCCAGCTTCTTTAACTATCTCCTCTGCTGAAGTTACAAATCCTAACTCAATAGCATCAGTATGTAAGTTATATGCAAAAACTGGAGTCAGGAGAGAGAGAAGGCTTACCGCATATTCCTCTGGTGTAACCTTAAGAACATCAAATACCACAGCATCAAAGCTTTTCTTCAATTCAGAGCCTTTGTCACTTAATGATTCAGAGCTGCTACTCTTCTGTTAAATTGAAAGAAAATATGGACATTTAAATATTATCTCACAGATGTCACAGAACCTAGACTGACCTTAAAAACTGAGGAAACTAAGAACTGCATGTTAACAAAGGCTACAGAAAGCTGAGCAACATGTGCTGCTTAGCTGGAAGAGTACTAGATGTGGGCCCAAGCAACCTGAAATCTAACCTCAAGTTTTGATTTTAGGTTCTTAAGTAACTTTTTTGGGGACGGGGGGAGAGAGAGGGAGAGAGAGAGAGAGAGAGAGAGAGAGAGAGAGAGTGAGTTTGTGTGTGTGTGTGTGTGTATGTATGTGTGTGTTTCTTCATCCAGGCATCCCATCATTTTCTACAGAAATAAAAGCCTTAAAATACGACAATGATTCTCAAATGGTATAAAGGAAAGTTGGGGAGAACAACATACATCCACAGTCAGGTATGAGGTACACGCTGAGAAATATGTTGTTAAGCAATTATGTCACTGTAATTACTTCACAGAATATACTTATATGATAGTAAATATTTATGGCCCAAATATCAACGCACCTTATTATATAAAAAAAATATTTCTTGGCATTAAATCCCAGATAAACCCCAAAACAATAATACTGGGTGATTTTAAAACATCCCTTCCACCAAGACAGGTCATCCAAACATAAAATCAATAAAAATATTTCCAACCTAAATAATATGATAAATCAAATGGACGTAACAGACATTTAAAGAATATTTTGTGGGGCTGGGGTTGTGGCTCAGTGGTAGAGCACTCGCCAACATGTGTGAGGCACTGGGTTTGATCCTCAGCACCACACACACAAAATAAGTAAACAAAATAAAGGTATCATGTCCACCTACACCTAAAAAAAAAAAAAAAGTTTAAAAAAAAAGAATATTTTGTTCAATATTCTGCTGACATGGTGGCTCACGTCTATAATCCTAGGGCTTGGTAGGCTGAGGCAGGAGAATCATGAGTTCAAACCCAGCTTCAGCAACTTAACAAGGCCCTAAGCAACTTATGTTGAGACAAGGTCTCAACATAAAAAAAAAATAAAAAAGGGATGGTGATGTGGCTCAATGGTTAAGTGCCCCATTCAATCCCTGATACCAAAAAACAAAACAAACAGATCATATTCTAGGTCACAATTTAAGTCTCCTTATATAATCCTGTGTGTCTTATCAGATCATAATGGAAAGAAAACTCGAAATCAATAGCAAGAAAAACTATTGAAATCACATCAACACATGGGTTGAACAATATTATTTTAAATGACTAATAACTCACAGGAGAAATCAGGAAATTCTTAGAAACAAATAAGAACAGGGATACAACACATCAAGGTCTCTGGAACAGTATGAAGGCAGTTCTATGAGGAAAGTTTATAGGATCAAGTACCTACATTAAAAAAAAAAATAGAAAGATCCCAAATTAATCTAATACTATACCCTCAAGGCCTTAGAAAAGGAAGAATGATCTAGTGCCAAAACAAGAAGATAAGAAACAAGATCAGAGTCAAAATTAATGAATGTAAAATTTAAAAAACAATACAAAGGGGGCTGAGGCTGGGGCTCAGTGGTAGCACACTTGCCTGGCATGTGTGAGGCACTGGGTTCAATTCTCAGAGCCATAAATAAGTAAGTAAGTAAGTAAGTAAGTAAAATAAAGGTCTATCAGCAATTCAATAAATAAATTTTAAAAAGTGACCAGGCCAACCATGGACTAAAAGTTCTGAAATTGTGGGCCACAATAAATCTACTTAAAAAAAAAATACAAAGGATCAATGTAACAAAGAGCTGATTCTTGCTGGGCATGGTAGCACATGCCTGTAATCACAGTGACTTAGGAGGCTGAGGCAGGAGGACTGAAAGTTTGAGATCAGCCTCAGCAATCTAATGAGGCCCTAAGCAACCTAGTGAGACTTTGTTTCAAAATAAAAAATGAAAGGGGTTGGGGGTATATCTCAGTGGTAAAGCTCCCCTAGGTTCAATCCCTAGTACCACTCCCCCCAAAAATCTGATTCTTTGAAAAGATAAACTCTTAGCAAAATTAACCCCACAAAAGAGAAGACTTAAATCAATGAAATTAGAGATGAAAAAAAGGAGATATCACCACAGATACTTCTGAAATCATTTGAAAATTTATACTCCAACAAACTGAAAAATCTAGAAGACACTGACAAATTTCTAGACACATATAACCTACCAAATTGAACCAGGAAGATATAGAAAACCAAAACAGACCAATATCAAGCATTGAAACAAAGCAATTAAAAGCCTTCCAACAAAGAAAAGTTCAAGACAAGATGAATTCTCAGCTAAGAATCACTGGTACAAAAACATCAAGGAAAGAAAACCATAGACCAATATCTCTGATGAACACAGATGCAAAAACCCTTAATAAAATATCAGCAAAGCACATTCAAAAACACATTAAGAAGAATGTATACATGATCAAGCTAGATTCAACCTAAGGATATGAGGTTCATTAAACGTAAGCAAATCAATAAATGTACTTCATTACATGAACAGAATTAAGGACAAAAATCATATGATAATCTCAATGGATTTAAAAGAATATTGTTCAAGAAAAGGCCTTTGAGAAAATCCAGCACCCATTCATGTTAAAAATGCTGGAGAAAATAGAAATAGAAGGAACTTACCTCAACATTATAAAGGTTACATATGAAACCAACATCATAATGAATGGAGAAGAACTGAAAACATTTGCTTTAAAATCAGGCACAAGACAGGATGTCCACTCTCACCACTCCTATTCAACATAGTTCTTGAAGCAAGAGAGGGAAATTAAAGGTTTTACTTAGGAAAAGAAGAAGTCAAATTATCTATTTGCTGATGATCTGATCCTATATCTAGAACTGCCCCCCCTCCGAAAAAAAACTCTACCAGAAGATGCCTAGAGGTAATAAATTCAGCAAAGTAGCAGGATACAAAATCAACATGTATAATTAATAGCTTTTCTATATCCTTTTTTCTGCTGAAAAAGAAATCAGAAAAATTATCCAACTCACAATAAAATCAAAATAAACAAAAACCTTGGCAATTAATCTCACTAAGGAGATGAAAACCATAGCCTTAGAAGATGGAAAAGACTTCCCATGTTCTTGGATTGGCAGATTTAATATTGTCCAAATGGCCATACTATCAAAAGCATTATACAGATTCAATGTAATCCTCATCAAAATACCAATGACATTCTTCATATAACTAGAAAAACAAGTCTTAAAATTCATTTGGCAGAATAAAAAGACCCAGAATAGCCAAAGCAATCTTGAGCAAGAAAAAGATGCTGAAGGCATCACAAAACCTGATCTCAAATTATACTAGAGCTACAGCAAAAAAAAAAAACAAAAAAAAAACAAAAAACCCAGCATGGTGTTAGCATCAAAATAGACATAAAAACCAGAGGAACAGAGTAGAAGACAGAGACAAACCAAATAGTTAACAGTCATCTAATACTTGACAAAGGTGCCAAAAATACATGTTGGAGAAAAGATAGCCTTTTTAACAAATGGTGCTAGGAAAAGTGGATATTCATGTGTAAAGGAACAAAACTAGATCCCTATCTCTCACCCTGCACAAAAGTCAAATCAAAGTGGATCAAAAACTTAGGAATTAGATCAGAACTCTACAACTGCTAGAAGAAAACATAGATTCAACACTCCAACATATTGGCACAGGCACCAGCTTCCTTATTGAGACCCCTAAAAAGTTCAAGAAATAAAATTAAGAATCATTAAGTCAGACAGCATCAAATTAAAAAGTTTCTGCATAGCAAGGAAAGTTTGAGACCAGCCTCAGCAATCTAATGAGGCCCTAAGCAACCTAGTGAGACTTTGTCCGACTGGGCTGTGGCTCTCAGTCGGAATGACGCATGGCATTTTTGCCAGAAAGGAGTGGTTGAGAGGTGATGCCAGCGAGCCATTGAGATGATGATGGTTATGTTAAGCTGTGTATTCAACTGTATATTAGACCCCTGCGGTCTGCCTCAGCCGCTACTTTGGAGTTCTCCTGGGGATTCCTGGAGAGTTGGGGAAGTGCCAGAGGAGGGATTTCCGGTTGGTGTGTGGTGTGTCCCGAGAGAAGGCCGCGTGGGTGGCCTTAGCGGGAGTTCGGAAATAAAGTTTGTTCCTGCTTGAGTGGCTCCTGATTTGTGCCCAGCCAGACTGCGGCAAAAAAATAAAAGGGGTTGCGGGTGTATCTCAGTGGTAAAGCTCCTCTCGGTATGAAGACAGAGACTACGGGGAGGGGGGGTGGTGGTGTAAATCTTGGCCAGCTAATCCTTTGACAGTGGATTAATATTTAGAACATAAAAAGAACTCAAAAAAGCTTAACCCTCCCCCACCAAAAAAAGAAGAAGACAACAATGGGCAAAAGAACTAAACACACATTTCTCAAAAGAAGAAACACAAACGACCAAGAAATATAGAAAAAATGTTACCACTCTCTAGCAATCAGGGGAATGTAAATTAAAACTACATTGAGATTTCCTCTCATTCCAGGCAAAATGGCAATTATCAAGAGTAAAAATAAATGTTGCAAGGGTGTTGGGGAAAAGGCACACTCAAAAATTGATGTGAATGCCAATTAATACAACCACTCTGAAAAACAGTATGGAGATTCCTCAAAAAACTACAAATGGAACCCCCATATGACCCAGCTATCCCAATCCTTGATACCTATTCAGAAGGACTCTAAAAAGTTCAATGATACACCCATATCAATATTTAAGGAACACAACTCACAATAGCCAAGTATGGAATCCCTCAGGTGCCTATGAACAGATGAAAGAATTAAGAAAATACATTTTACACACACACACACACACACACACACGAATTATCCTAGCCATAAAAAAGAATGAAATTATGGCATTTGCTGGTAAATGAAGAGAAATGGAGAACATCATGCTAACTGAAACAAACCAGATTCAGAAAATCAAGGATTGAATGTTTCCTCTCATATGTCAAATCTGGAATTAAAGGAAAGAGATAAAAAGGAAAAGTAATGATCAGAAACCATAAGGATAGAGGGAATACCAATGGTGAAGAAGAAGGAGACTGAGAGGGAGAGAGGAAGGACAGGAAAGGGGAGGAAATGTGGAATGAATGACAGAATTATTCTGTGCATGTATAAATACACCACAGTGAAATCCATCTTTAAGTGTATCTACAAAGCACTGATCAAAAATAGATAAATAGGGCTGGGGTTGTAGCTTAGTGGTAGAGCACTTGCCTAGCATGTGTGAAGCACTGGGTTCGATTCACAGCACTGCTTACAAATAGATAAATAAAATAAAGGTCCATCAACAAATAAAAAAATTTTAAAAAATAGATAAATAGAAGAAAAAAATGAATATATTTCTAATATGCTAAGTAAATATACATAAACAATATAATTCCTGCCTCAAGTAGGAAGAAAAGTTATGCATACATTTATACAAAACAAAAAGCCTAAAGATTTTTTAAAGTGATAGTTTCAAAAACAGGAAAACTCCCACCTTTTAGGGAATTAGAAAAGATTTTATTAAAAGTTACAATGTTTGAAATACATTTCAAAAGATAATATCTTTTTGTGCAGTAAGGAAAGGGACACATTGGAAAGGGAAGAAAAATTCCGGACGGAAAATTTAGAACAGAAGTAGGCAAAGCTAATGATTAATATAAACATTTTTAAAAATGTAGTATTTTCAACAGAAGTTTCAAATAGGAATTAAATCCATTAGAAATAAAATTGGGAGCCATTCTGAGGAAAATATTGAATAATGAATGGCTGTGGGGGTATTCGAATATTATTAGTAGGCAATAAGAAACCACCAATAGTTTGGGGATAAGACAAAAGTTTAAAAACTTTATTTTAACAATGTTAATGGTAAATTTCAGACAAATGGAACAGAAACAATAGAGAATAGTAATGCAAAACTAAACTGAAAAGTTGCTGCAATAATCTAGACAAGAAATCATAAATAACCAAACTAGGATGGTAATAGTAGAAATAAGGAGATGAAGCCAAAGTCTGGTGAATAGGCTGCTCCAAGACAGCTGCCAAGGATCTGTACCTCTTGGGAGTCCCACCTTTGTGTAATTCTCTTCCCTTCAGTGTGGGCAGGACCATGACTTGTTTCTAATTAGTAGAAAATGGCAAAGGTGATACGATGTCACTCCCATGATTACATCACTTAAGGTCATAATTTCTGTTTTGCTAGTGGATTCTGCTGGGATAAGAAAATGGTTGTGGCAGGCCAAGAAAAAGGGAGTAGATAAAAGAACTTAAAGATTTAAGTGTAGGTGGCTATGGAACTGTGGTACTACTAACAGCCTAAAGGTGGTGGACTATTAACTGTTATTAAAATACTTTGAGAACAAAGTGTTAAAGAGTCATAAATGTTGGTCTTCTCCAATATAGGAGAAAAACAAAGGAGAAACATAGGAGACAAATGCTAAAACTACTAAGGTAAGTATTCTAGATTTGTAGACAGGCAAAAAAAGAAAAAGATGAAGTAGAAATAAAATCACAATATACTAATTAGAGAGGTGAACACCTGGTTCAGTGTTCATCTCCATCTACCTCATCAGACTAAGCCTAATAGTCCAGTCCAAGAGTTCTTTGATCTCCTTCAACAGGCTTGAAATCAGTGCTCTGTATGATGTCCAAAAATTCAGTGATTCCAAATAAACAATCTTTCTTTGCCTCACTTTCACTATTGTCCAAGGTTCACATAAAGCAGGAATACTCTAAAAGGAAATTATGTGTTTTCTCTAAAATTAAACCTAAAAGAAAGTTTTAAGTAATCATTTCTTCTTATTATCTTTCAAGTATTTTAAATAGATGAGGACTATTTCTAAGATGAACAGTGAATACATGAATGACAAAACTGCAAGTTCTTAAAAACACATAGCCCTTTATCTCACATTCTAATTTTAAAATGCAACCAAACAGTGAATGAAAAATCAGAAAAGGCAGGTGAGAAAACTTACAGTGAGGTTTTGTAAAATGTCTTACCTCAGAAGCAGTAGCTGCGATATTAACATTGCTTGCCTGTCCGTTCATTAGGTCCATGCTTCCCTCATCAGTCCCCACCCTATGTTTACAGCAACAGAGGACTGATTACTTCATGTCCAAGGCCACAAATACATTATGTCTGCAGAAAAAAAATATAGAGAGATAGAAAAGTTAATATGTGCATCTTCCCTGAAGTTCAAAAACACCAATCCATGCCTACCACTATGCTAAGGAACAAAATAGTCCATCTTTGCTGAACTCCATTTGCTGAACTTTTATTTTAGCTAAGCCACTAAATCCAGATTGAGAACATGAGAACAATCCTATAAGCTATTTTCAAATAATCAGAAACACCAGATGGGCAGTATTCAATAGTTGTTACTGTTTTCTTCCTAAGTGAAGCATCACTTTTCACTGATTAAGTGGAATATGTGAGAATAAAATAATTTTTTTTTTTTAGTTTTAAGTATAAAAATCATGTGGCAAAGTAATGGATGTCCTACACAATAAAAATTTCAAAATCCAAATGGCACCTCTAAATAAAAAATATTGAATAAGCTTTTCTTTTCTTTTTGTGGTACTGGGGATTGAACTCAGGGTCTCAACCACTGAGCCACATCCCCAGCCCTTATTTTTATTTCATTTGGAGACAGGGTCTCACTGAGTTGCTTAGCACCTCACTTTTGCTGGGGCTGGTTTTGAACTCGTGATCCTCCTGCCTTAGCTTTTAGCCACTGGAATTATAGGCATGCACCACCATGCCCGGCTAAGCTTTCCATTCCTGGTGATCTAGATAGTTGGGGACCAAGGTACTATAAACACGGAAAAATAAAATATGGAATGTGTCATAAAAATACCACAAAATATGACATGTTTATTTGTATAGGGCTTTAAGGTTTATGAATAACCTCAATCCATTATCTCATTTCACAGTTTCCAAGAACATTAATTAGTGTTCACTAACAATAATGCTATTATTATTCCCATGTAATACAAGAAAGAAAACCTCTTGAAAAAAGGGTAAATGACGAGCCAAGAACAAGAGACAAACCATCAATATTAAATATTTTTTTCCATAATACTGTATTTTTTCTATTTTACTGGAAGTCAGAATATTTTCTTGAGGTTCTATTATCTTTACACAAATAACTTGCCGTACAGCACTGAGTAGCTAACTTAACCTCTCTGACAAAACTTTCTCCTCTCTGTAAGTTGAATGGACTTGAAGGACCCTTTTAAGATTTCCACAATGTTTTTCATAATAGAATGGTAAGTGTCTATAATTTAGGTATTCTACTTTAAAGACTAAGTTTACGATGTCAATAGCAATTCCTTCAATACTAAACTTACTTTCTCTGATAAAGCAATGTAGGATAGCACCTGAAAAGCACAGAGCCTAGAACAAGATTGCCTATATAAAACCAGCAAACTTGAACTTTCCTGTGCTATTTCCTCATCTATAAAACAGGAATAACAATAGATACCTACCTGACAGAGTTGTCCTGGGGATAAACAAGCTAATATATGCAAAAGCACCTAAAACAAGTGCTGGTACATAACAAGAATGCTATTACCATGATGCAGACTTTTCATTACCATATACTTACGCTACATAAAGTTTAAATTCAATGGAGTCTTCTAAATAAAAAAGACAAAACCTTAGAAATATGCCTCTGGCAAGCACACACTGGTGACAAGTTGCTAAAATCCTAATTGTAAATGCCAATGAATAAAAATGCCAAATCTATTTCCTAAATGGAGCAAAACCTACCCCTGGTTTTCAAATACTTAAAAATTACTACTAATAATAACACTCCTTGGTCACATCCTAAATTTATCTTCATTTCTTCAGATTGCCTAAGTACCCAAGAGGAAAACACTGTGCTAGAATTAAAAAAAAATGTTTGAAATAATGGTGGTTTTAAAACCATTTCAAAGACATTTAGAAAATCAATAGGAAATGAATAAAGCACAGAAATACTATAATTTCATCCAATGGATATTATCTTATTCTATAAGCATCATTAATCTATGATAACACTGTTAATGATAAATTTATGTTCACCCTGTTACACAAAACTGACTTGATAATTCTAATTTTCTTGACAGTAACATTCAGTTTGCAATGAAATGTTTTCAAATAATTTCATCTCATTCCATATTCTATGCATAGACTAAGTATGACATGAATTCATAAATCAAGAGTGCCCCCTAGTGCTAAAAGATTCTTAATTTCATGGTTAAAGAAATTGTATCTTTACCTATTAAATATGTAAATTTAATTATTATTATTATTTACTGAAAAAAGGCAATGCAGACTGGGAATAATAACAATATATTTGCAAACTCCGATCATAATCAACTTTTCTCCATCTGTTTTTAATTAAACTGTTAAATATTCCATGATACTGGAGGTCACGTTAAAGTTCATACATGTTTAAAAAAAAAAAAAAAACAGAACATAGTATATCTTAAAGAAAATTACTCATAATTATTGACAAATATACTACATGTCAATTTTATTTAATAATGGTGAAGTACAAAGGGTTCATATTTAAACACTGCAAGCTCCAAGGGTGACCTGGGTCTATTCTTTTAGTACATGTCTCAAGACAAATTTAGCAAATTAATACATACTTTTATTTTTTAACCTTAGTTTTTTAAACTTATTTTTCGTAGCATTATACATGCACAATCATTCATAATGACTATCAACATCACAGCATCTATTTTAAAATTCATTAGTTTCTACTCACTCTCTTTTCAACTTTTAAGATAGTTACCAAAACAGGGATATTGGTTCTTTCTAAGCAACATCCCTGATAAGGAAATCTTGAAGCATACATTCTTCCTTCTCAAATTCACAGAACTAGATTGTCAAATTGCAGGCACAATCATTCGGCCCCTAACTGCTTGCTCTCATTGCCTCCTCAAAAAACCAAGGCCTTTTTATAAATGAACAAGGGGTAAGCCAAAGCAAAAATTTCTCACTAGTCAATTTAATCTTATTTCACAGTACCAGCTGCATAGACTTTTCTAAAATAATTTACATAATCATCATCACGATTATGCTAAGGATCTCAGAGTTTTACAAGATATACTCTAGAAAAGGTAAGCAACAACTATAAGTAAACTGGTAGTGAACGTAATTAACTGGAAACTTTTGGACAGTATGGAACAGTATGCACAGGTCTGGTCTAAAATCTCAGTCCTGGAAATTCATCCTATCAAAACTGTAAAAAAAGATAAAACAAAAAACAAAACTCTATACAGAACTACTCAATCAAGCATTATTTACAATAGTGAAAATCAGACACAACTTCAATGCCTTTGTATACAACTACTTTTAAAAAATACAACTGAGTATTTTTAGACATAGCTCAATGGAGAGTACTTCACTAGCAGGCACAAGGCCCTGGGCTGGATTCCCCAACACTGCCACCACCATCAACAAAAACAAATTTGCAAGGAGTGGTGGTGTGCCTGTAACTGAGATATTTGGGAGGCTGAGGAAGGAGTATCACCTGAGCCCTGGAGTTCAAGTCCAATTTGACAAAAATAGCAAACCTGTCTCAAAAAATAAATAAAAATAAACCAAATTTTAAAATAACAATTCAAATGGACAATTGTAAGAAACAGGAGAACAGCAGTGACAGGTTAAATAACAGAAACTAAATCTTCTCAGGATAATATTTTTATAAAGTTTCAAGAGGAAAAAAGAACATAGGGTAAAACATGATTACAATACAAATATTTAAAAGTTACTACAAAGTTTCCTTTCCTTTGATATTAATTTTTAAACAAAAATTAAAGGTACACTTTAAAGGATATTCATGGGAGATTCAAAGAAATAAATAAATGGCCTGTGTATGGTAGCACTAAGACAAGCCCATTTTAGCACATGGCAGATCGGCCTTCTCCATTTTTTTTAATCTAAAAAAATTAGGCATTAGTCCCAAATTCCCCAGTACTTTATTTTCAATAATTATAGCTGGCTGGCTGTGGTGGTGCACACCTGTAATCCCAGTGGCTCAGGAGGCTGAGGCAGGAGGACGGAGTTCAAAGTCAGCCTCAGCAAATTAATGAGGCCCTAAGCAACTCAGTGAGACCTTGTCTCTAAATAAAATATAAAAAAGTGCTGAGGATGTGGCTCAGTGGTTAAGTGCTCCTGGGTTCAATCCCTGGTAAACCTGACCACCACCACCACCAAAAAAAAATTATAGTCATAGAAATGCTGAGGAATAACAAAGAAAAGATTTTGGTTTTGCGATAATAGTTTTTAAGCTTTTTGGACAAAAGTATGATAAAGCAGTTGTCTCTTAAAACCACTAGTGGTACAGGACTAAGCAAAATTATCTTTGCTATTTGCCACTATGAAAAGTTTAAGTTATTAAGACAGGAACTTAAAAAGAGGTTGAAATGAGACATATAGTCTGGAGCTATAGACTGTTCCCTGCCCGCACCTCCCAAAGAGTTTATTAGCCTCCCACCTTTGTGCTTCCAGGGCTCTTTCATCAAAGTCTACTCCTGTATTTCCACACTGTTTATGTTCTCTTTCCTTAATGATCTTTGACTTCCTTGATTTTAGTTAAAGATCCATATTTAAAAACAAACAAAAACCCATTGTTTTTCATCTTGCATTCAGACACATATATAGCATAGTACTGGACTTAAATTACCTATTTAATAAGTATCTGTTCAAAGAAAGAATGAAGGAATAAACAATATAATCATTCATAAATGCCAGATTAACCATAAAAGTACAGGGAAAATAGCCATCAAATAATCAATACACATAAGATTTAACACAGTGTGGTGAAAATTTCTACTTTGAGCAATACAGCTGACCAAAATCAAGTAAAACTGAGCTCCAAGAGAAATTTAGAATAGGGGCTTGAATTTTTATACTATTTGCAAAGAAAAAAACAAGGTCACCAAGAGACAAGAATGGAACTGAGACACATGCCCTCTCCTTCCTGCCACATCCCTACATATCCCAATAGTTCATCTGTGTGCTAAGAGGCTCTAGGGGGAAAAATATATCTGGTATAGAAAGATGAGGTGAGTTGTCTATATTAGACATGGCTGAAAGAAAGTATCTGTTCCAAAAATCTATCTTCTGGGGCATGTTACCACACA